GGATTATTTGTGTCTTTTCCTTTGTTAGTTTTGCTAGTGGTTTGTCAATTTTATTGACCTTTTCTAAGAACCAACTCCTAGTTTTGTTGATGGTTTCAATTGTTTTTCTGTTTTCTATCTCGTTTATTTCTGCTCTAATTTTTATTATTTCAGTTTTTTTAGAGGGTGTTTGGTTTTCTTGCTCTTCTTTTTCAATTTGTTGGAGATGTTGGGTTAGAGAGCCAATGGTCAATTTTTCCCCTGCCCTTTAATGTGTTTGCTTATTGCTATAAATTGACCTCTGATTACTGCTTTGGCTGTATTCCCTGCCCCTTTATTTTTAGTCTTTCTTTATCTCCATTTTTCAGGGGTGTCTCTTGTAGACAACATTGATAGATAATGTGTTGTTTTTTTTTATCCAACCTGCTACTCTTTTTCTCTTCAGTGGTGCATTTAAACCATTCACATTCAGTGTGAATATTGACAAGCAAGGTTTTATTGTTATAATTTTGTTCTTTTTGGCATTGTTGCTACTTACTTTGGTCCATCCTGCTTTCTGTGGCACCTCTGTAAGAAGGACATATCTTAGTGTTTCCTGTAACACTGGTCTTGTTTTTACAGATGAAGGGGAACTTTGAAGAATCAAATCCCTATGCACATCCAAGAACTTCTCCAATAGGATAAAGAGGGAAGTCTCAGATTGGGGAAAAAATATTTGGTAATGACATGTCAGATCAGGGACTTATATTTAGAATTTATAAAATACTTGAGAACCACAACAGATAAAGGTAAACAACCCAGTTGAAAAATGGGCACAGGATATGAACAGACCTTTCACCAAATAAGCCATTCAGATGGCCAACAAACACATGAAGAAATGTTCAAAATCCCTAGCTGTAAGAGAGATGCAAATCAAAACAACTATAAGCTATCATCTCACCCCAGTAAAAGTAGCAAAATTTAACAGAACAGCAAACAAATGCTGGTGAGGTTGCAGAGAAACTGAAACCCTTATTCACTGTGGGTGGGAGTGTGAAATGGTGCAACCATTTATGGAAGGCAGTATGGCACTTTTTCCAAAAATTGGAAATAGAAATACCATTTAACCCAGCAATTCCACTACTGGGAATATACCCTAAAGAAACCATAACCGCCACCCAAGCAGATATATGCACACCTATGATTATTTCAGGTTTGTTCACAATAGCAAAGAGATGGAAACAACCCAAATGCCCATCAACAAAGGAATGGATAGAGAAGCTGTGGTATATCCACACAATGGAATACTATACTGCATTGCAAAAGAGGAACTCATGAAATAATATACAAATGGATGACTCTGGAGGACATTATGCTGCGTGAAACATCTCAGTCACAAAAAGACAAATACTGCATAATGCCACTGTTATAAGGACTGACATAGGGGTGGCAGGAAGATAGAGAAAGAGGGGATAAATAATGTACACTGCATTGAAACAGATAAGGGAGAGAACTGTTTAAAAGGGATATATGGTTAGGAATTATTGTTATGACTGGAGTCCATAATGAAGGCTACATAGTGAAGTGGACTTGAGTGGGGAGGGATTGTATGACAATGAAAAAATTTTCTTTTACTTTATTTATTTTTTTTCTTTTCAAAGAGAAGAGCAAACTCGGGGAGGGGTGGACAGGGAGAAAAGTGCAACAATGAATGAATGGAAATTCAAAGACTCTGTAAACTTTCATTAAAATTAATTTTTTTTAAATGGCCCAATTAATGTTTGGGGCCAGAAGGAAAGTGGAAATGAAAAAGTTTTTAATACCTCACTATCAAAGGGATGATGCAGGTGTCACAGTGACAAATCTCTAAGTGGGTGGTGTGGTGAGTCCCTGAGGCCCTGTCATGGGAGGAACGCCCACCCCACCAATACCTCCATATCCAGAAACCCCATGGTGTCACACAGGATCTCCTGGAGGTCATGACGCCTAGGAATGGCCACATTTGTCTTATTTTCTATATCATCTAGAGGCACAGGAGGAGTAGAGGTCAAGCAGTGCCCTTGAGCCACCGAAGTTTGAAGTCCGTATGTAGTGTCCCTTGGGGTAAGTCGATTTGGCCCTTCAAGGCCTTCATTTACTCCTTGACAAAATGGCAGGGCACTGGTTATACAGCAGAACCTCTGTCATTGGGTTGTGAAGATTTCTAAGAGCAGCATTTTTGATTCATTTCAGTATGTGGGATGAGGTAGGGATTCAGGAAAAGGCCACGCTGTAGATGCTGAATAACTGATTTTAAATACCTTCCAGAAAATACCTCTAGATCTATTCTTTCCAACAGCAAGGTTGTTGTTGTTGTTATGTGCTGTCGAGTCGCTTGCGACTCATAGTGACCCTATGTACAACAGCCCTAAACTCCGCTCTATCCTGTGCCAGTCGCACTGTCTCTGACACTCCCATCCCGATTACCCCAGTCACTGAATCAATCCACCTTATAGAGGGCCTTCCTCTCCTGCGCTGTCCCTCCACCCTCCCAAGCATCATGTCCTTCTCCAAGGACCTGTCTCTCCTCACAACATGTCCAAAGTATGTTAGAACAGCAAGGTAGCGTGCTGAAATACCATCTTCCTTGGCATAACCACTTCATGACCCAGAGACATTTATTTCCTGATTTTGCTGGGTAAATTATGTGAAGTGGATTATACAGTGGAGATTCCCGAAACACTTAACAAGGAGGGATCACTCCATTTTCTAGACAACCCAGGATTTTCTTGGTGTGTATGACTAGTTGGTGTTGTAGTTGCCTAAGTTCATTTGGGGTATTTCAGACTTATTGGAATTTAGAGGTTCAAGTGATTAATAGCCCATTTCCCTAACCCCTCCCTTGTCAGCGGGTCCAATGATTGATGCTGGGGCCAAGTTGGAATCATTCTTCACTTTCCTGAAGAGCAGCATCATGACTTAATGGGCAAATCAAAGGCATAAAGAGTTAGGGTTGAGTGGATGCCAAGTTTAAGTCACATACTCCAGCTGGAACTCACTGTGCTTGAGATGGGACCCCAAGTAGACCGCCAGTCAAGGATGAAAATACTTGCTTTCATCTTTATCTCATTATGGGTGAGATCCTCTATTTCCACTCATATTTAGTGGGGTTTTTTAAAGTATGTTCTTTGCACACTTTTTTTCCCCAATTTGGGTACCTTTTTTTTTTTTTAAATAATTTATTTTT